CCCCAATGCTGCTGCTCTGGGAGGAGCTCAAGACATCAGACCCCACTTACCCACCCGTTTCCCCCCCCGCCCCTTACATCAGGAATGGGAGCAGTTAGGAGACAAAGAATCCAGATTCGCTTGGGTTTGGAGCAAACGAAAATGATAATAAGGGCTGAAATAAAACATCTCGCAGGCAGGGAGCTCACCTGAACACTGCGGAGGGAGTGGCTGCCAGGACCTTGCTGCCATCGGGTGACCAAGCCAAGTAAGTGACACCCCCGCCTCCAAACCACTGCAGCTGGACGCAGTTTTCGGTGGACACATCCCATACCTGGAGAAGGGGACAACGAGGAGGATAACGACACCGGGACCTGAACGCTGACCGGGCAGTTAGCGCAGCTTTGGGGGAGTTTTTCCTTGGATTAGGGAATACAGACGGATGCTTTCAGATCTAATTCAAATCCATAAGGTGCCTAATCCATCCTCTGAGGAAATTCCTGCAGTCACGCAGCCAAACCAGCCCTTGGTGACCCCACGGTGTGTTCACGGTTCCGGTATCCCATCGGGGAGGTACAGACTCTTACCAGCATGGCCGTGTCAACCGGCGACGCCGAAAGCAGCAGCTCCCCGCTGGGAGCCCACGCCAGGCTGGTGACGGGGCTGTGCCCTGGGTAGGACAGCACCTGAGCGCAGCCGGACGATGGTCTGGAGGGAAGGAGAGAGAAAGAAACAACCACGGTTGATCCCGAGCTGCCAAAAGCCAGCGCTCTGTCCTCCGGTAGGACGGGCAACTGCCTGGCGTTAACCAAAAGCCAATCCAAATGGGCTCGCGACAGGGAGATGCGTGGGGCTGTCACCTTGTGGAGAGGGAGGTGGGATCCAGGTGCCACACCAAGACGCAGGAACGGCGAGGATGGAGGCACAGAGCGCCTTCCAGGCCATGGCGGCCACGTTCCTCTGCAGGCGGTGCTTCAGCGAGGGGATGGTGGCACTGCCGGAGAGGAGGGAAGCGTGACAAGAGGAAAAATGGGGGATCAAGAACGCTCACACAGCCTGAGGTGGGCCAAGGGCTGTCTCCCGGTGTCCTCTCTCCAGTTCTGACCGCAGTGGGGGCCTAAAAGCACAGAGTGGGAAGGGAGGGATGTGCCCCACCGTGACCTGCTTCCCTGGGAGGTGGGGGACAGAGGAGATCCCAGCCAGGTGACACCGGTGCCGTGCAGCAAGCTGGAGCACACCTCCTGTGATTAAGCGCCGTGCCCCGTGCTGCCCACAGCCTGGCCCCGGGGTGGGAGATGGCACTTGCTGGCTTGAAATCCCAGCTGGGGGAGAGTGCCTCAGCGGGGAGACGCGGGGAAGGCTGCAGGACCAGCCGGCAGAGTCTTCTCCTGAGGAGGGCTTTGCATGCTCTGGGGGAGCAGGGAGACCTGGAGGAGAAAGAAGACTCAACAAAACCCAAGAGGCCACTCTGCCTGCGATGGCAGCCAGGCTGCGTGCCACCCGGGCCGTCCCCAGGAGCTACAGAGCAGGGAGGGAAAGAAAAACCAAAGCTTAAGTAAGGCCAGACATTTTGGGAGATGTCCTTGCAGAGCTGTTGCTACACAGCAAGAGGTTCTGGGGATAGATGGTGTCGCGGGAGCAAAGTCTGAGCAAACACCGAGGCATCGCAGGGCAGAGACGCCGGGGAAATCCTTGGTATGTGCTGGAGGTGGATGTGAGAGGGCGAAACAGGGAGCAGGGGGTCTGTGGAGGTGCCCCCCAATGAGAAGCATCTCCTGGGCCAGCGGTGCCTGGGGAGCAGCCCAGCCCTCACCTGTTGGAGTTGTAGACCCGAATGGAATCATCCAGAAGAGCCACGGCAAATTTGCTGGTGTGGGGGTGCCAGGCGAAGGCCCGGATAAGGGGGGGAGAGGGGGGGGGGGGGGAAACCCCCCCAGCCACTGCACCGGCGTTGTGGGCTCAAGGCAGTGGTGATGGGCTCTCGGGCATCATGCGTGACCACCCCGCAGCCCGCCAAGGCTGACAAAAGCAGTTCCCAGAGTCACCAGTGAAATAAAACTTCCTTCTCGCTGCTGAATGGGACCATTTTCTCTGATAAATTCCCCGTTCCTGGCCAATATTCATAGGGCTCTGCCAAGGGACTGGTTAACGAACAGTCTAGGATCAGTATTGGAAGGAATTTTCCAAGCCCTGATGTAGTTCAATGCTGTTTCCCCCACGTGCAGTGCATCGGGGCGTGCTTTCCCTCTCGCCGTGGTACAAACTGGGGCAGCCAGAGGCA